GGGATAGTGGTACAGGAGGAAGTCGCTGTGCGGGATGGAGTGGTGGGAGGAGTGGAGGTGATTGGCTGTTAGGTGAGGGTGGGGTAGGCTTCCCTGAGAGATGGGTTTTCAGGGTGCGCCTAAAGGTGAGGAGGGTAGGTGACAGTCTGATGGATTGGAGTAGTGAGTTCCAGAGGATGGGGGAAGTCCTGGAGAGGGGCCGAGTTCAGGTTGCGGAGGTTACGGCTGGTGATGTTTTGACGTTTGGGGGGAGGTGTTTGAGGACGGAGAGACGGAGAATGTAATGAGGTTGTGGTCAGAGAGAGGAAAAGGGGTGTTTGTGAGGTTGTGGGGGGTGCAGAGGTGAGATAAAACGAGGTCTAGGGTGTTCCCATCGGTGTGGGTGGAGGACTGTGTGCACTGTGTGAGTGCAAAAGAAGAGGTTAAGTGGAGCTGGGATGTAGCCGGGTTGTTGACGTTGATAGGGATATTGAAGTCACCAAGGATGATGGTGGGTAGCTCAGAGGAGAGGAAGAAGGGTAGCCAGGCGGAAAAATCGTCAAGGAAGCGGGATACAGGTCCGGGAGGCCGAATGATTACTGCAATCCTCAGGCTTCTCCTCAGGGAGAAAAGAGCTGGATGCAGTGGGCCTCAAAGGAGGAGAAGGATAGAGAGGGGGGATTTGGGAGGACCTGGAAGGTGCTCAGCGGTGACAAGAGCATGCCGACCTCACCACCTATACGACCGCTCGGTCTGGGTGAATGGGTCCAGACGAGACCGCCATAGGAGTGCCGCAGGGGAGGTGGAGCCAGTGGCTTGGATCCAGGTTTCGGTGACCGCTAATAGGTTGAGGGAGTGGGATATAGAAGTCGTGGATGGCGGTGAGCTTGTTGCAAACTGATCGGGCATTCAGGAGTGCAACCGAGAATGGAGGGGTGGATGTGGGGAGGAGGGGGACAGGTATTATGTTGCGGCAGTTTGTGGGAGTAGGAGGGTGCCTAGTGGGTGAGTGAGGTGGCGAGGGACCAGGGTTCGGGGAGATGTCCCCGGCGGTTAGGAGAAGAAGGGTGAGAAAGGTTTCACGGGAGCGGGATGTGCAAGAGCGTGTGGGTCTGTTAGTGGTGGCACGTGGGTTGGTGGGAGAGTGGAGTATTAGGAGGAGGTGTTGGGAGCCGTAGTGGGGAGATGGAAGTAGTGAGGGTGCGATGTACAGTTGTTTTGGGGGAGTAGGGGGGTAGAGGGAGGAGATTTTGGGAATGGAGGAGAGGAGTATGAGGAGGAGGTGTACAGGTGGCATATTAGGAGGGTGAGCGGAGTGCTGGTCAGGTGAGGGAGGTGAAAGGTTTCACCTCAGGGCGTACTGATGAGGAAACTCTGTCGTGCAGTGGCAGATCCCGTTGAAGTAGCTTCTTGTAGCAGGAGTACTAGTGAGTAGGATCTGGGTGGATGAAGATCAGTTCGGTAATTTGCAGGTAGCAAGTTCCAGTCTGCGTGAGTCCCAGGTTGGAGGGTTATGAGGGGGTCGTCAGGTGGGCTGCAGGTCAGAATAGGGTTGATCATCCAGTGGGAACAGAAGGTCCGGGATGGTAGGCCTCACCGAGGCAGGGCCGTTCTCTGGGGGTAGCGTCGCTCGCCAAGTCTACTTCGGGGGTGGATAGAGGGGCCTTAGGTCAGGGTCGGGCTGTGTCTTGGTAGGCTGTGGCAAGGTCTCGCTACTCACGGGGGTAGGCAGGAGGGCCTCAGGGCTGGTTCAGGCCACGACGTGGAAGGTTGGGTCGGGTCTTGTAGGCCGGGTTCATCTGTGGGAGGAGAAGGAGAGTGGTGGGCGGCTGGGTCACCTGCTGACTAGTCGCGGCGGTCTGTAGGTGCTGTAGGGCCCGGCGTCTGTAGGTGCTGTAAGCCGGCGTCTGTAGACTGACGTCTAGGTTCTGTAGGCTGGCGCCTGTGGGTGCTGTAAGGCCCGGCGCCTGTGGGTGCTGTAGGGCCCGGCGTCTGTAGGTGTTGTAGGGCCCAGCGTCTGTAGGTGTGGTAGGCCGCGTGGCAGGCCCCCCTCAGCCAGATTGGACGGAGCTCAGGGCTGTGCGGTGGCAGGGGCACAGGGGGTGGCTGTGAAGCACACGGTGGGGAGCTCAGGGCTGTGTGCAGTGGCAGGGGCACGGGGGGGCGTGTGTGCGCATGCGTGTGTGTGCATAAAATATATTTTTACTTAACCGTGCCTCACTCTAAAGTTTCGAAAAGGACAAGTTTGAGGACAGTCTCCTTTTCTTCTGCAGCTCTGCACTTACTATTGAACAATGAAGTGCTCAGCACTGAGCACTTCTTGTTCATTCACAAACCTGAAGAGATCGTAAGCATGCCATGTTAACTATCCTCATGAAAACCATCATGTTCAGTATTGAGCACTCCAGTGTTTGTTCATGAAAATTAAAGGGTTGGTAAACATGACAGACATGTTTATCGATCATCCTGCTCGCCATCCTGAACAAAGCCATTCCTCTATGTATGCCCCCATGGTATGATCCCCTCCACAACTCCCTGCCTCTGCAGGGAGTGTTTCATTGTTTGTGGACATATTTCCTGTATATAAAGGATCATAAACATCAGTTGATCTACTCGGCTGACTGTAAGTAACACTGGATTGCTATCATAGGATTGTCTGTCTGTCATTAAGGGCATGAAGTCAAGTATTTATGAACAAACATGCAAGATTCCAGTTCTGGGGATTCTTTAGATACATGAGAGTTGCTGTGAACCTTTACCAATGTGGGTGGTTTGCTGCAAGTATGTTTGCTATAGAGTATTGAAGATGCTATACAGTATTGAAGATGGGTATGTCTGGTTGACAGGAATACACTTTTTGAACTCCTATACCAAGTGATGGATTGTTTCATACCTTGATGATCAACTGGTAGAATAGAAGATATTTTAATATAACTGGAATAGTCCAACTGGACTGTGATTTATCACATTGCTTTGCAGCAGAATTTGCAGAACAACATTGATGAAAAAAAAATCATCATTCCTGCATTACTATTTTAATGGATATCCTTTAGCACTGTTTGTTCTTGTCATGCCTTTTTCATGTCCTCCTTACGCGAGAGCTCAGGGAGAACATGAAAAGGCATAACAAGAACAGGCAGTGCCAAAGGACATCCATTAAAATAGTGGACAATAAGGAGCATATGGCATGAGAATACCATATGCTCCTTATTGTCTTCTGTGGATTCTGATGCTGGTCAATCATTTATTTTCTTTAGATCTGTAGCTAGGTGCTACCTGCAGCTGTACCCTTGCCTATAATTTTTATATAAAAATTGTCCTGCTCCCTATGGCTCATTTCTTCCCCCTAACCAGGGGCGGACTGACCATTTGGAAACTCGGGCACTGCCCGAGGGCCCGGGGGTAGTAGGGGGCCCCATGAGATCCCCCCGGTACCTTTTTCATATGCTTTTTTGAGTTTGGGCAAGGACACAGGGGCCCCATGATCCCCTATTGCCCGGGGGCCCCATGAGTTGTCAGTCCGCCCCTGCCCCTAACCCTAGCTTTTCTATCTCTTTTGCCTTTGCTAAACTAGCTATGTGACTTCCAGGTGATTTTTGAATGGGGCAAGAACCACAATCTTATGAACGTTATGCCATTTATAATCGGTTGTTAAACACGTTAAAACCTTGGAGGGTTTTTGCACATAGCCATTCTTTAGGTGTACAGCCATACAGACAAAAATATGCTTGTAGTGGCATAAAGCTGCGCATGGCGTTTTTCTCTGATGCATCTTATCGGGTGAAAATATGCTGCAGCTATGGATCCCAGGCACCACAACACCTAGTGAATTTTACTCCGAACAGTCATTCGGCTAATGATCAGCCATGTGCAAGAACCCCCAAAAAAAGCCTTATTTAGAATACTGGGTATTAATCCTTATTTTTCCTTGTTAAAGAGTATCATTTATATTGTTTTACAGTTCTGTCTTCTATAGGACAAAATATATGAAGTACTTTGTCCTTTGTTGTAAGGTACTTTTTTAACCCTTGCTATGAGGTCCAAACTGCACCCCCACCACTCCTGCCACAGCTGATTTGATAACAGCTAGGTAGGAGATAACTGCTTCAGAACCGCAGCTTGTCTTGGCCTGAGCACTTTCCTCAGACAAGCAATGGCAGCAGGAATGTACAGGCTGACCTGTCCCCCCCCTCCCTCTGCATTCCTTCAGTCACGGCTTGTCCCAGGAAAGTGCTCTGAGCCAAGACAGGCTGCAGTTATGAAACAGCCATCTCCTTTCCAACTGTTGTCTGATCTGAATTGGCAGGAGTGGAGGGGGTGCACTTTGATGTTTACACTTAAAGCTACCTATACAGCTGTGTGAAATGTTGCCTAGCCAAGCCATTTGTGGTAATCTTATGTCTATGAGCCTTGCACACAACCATTGAAAGCAAAGAAGAGACAGAAGAAGCGCCTCTAAGTGTAGACACTGTAAAAAAAAAAAAATTATTGCTAACAAGTAGGCAACTCACATGTAAACAGAGAATAAAGGTACATCTAGGTAAAAACCTTGCAAGTTCCCCGATGACGTCATCACTCTTGGCGCTGCGGTCCACAAGCCCCTCAGTCCTCTATTTCAGATCCTGGACACTCTCCAGCCAGATTGCTTGCTGGCATAGAGCAGCAGTGGTGACCAGTGGCATCCCTACAACAATCCGTGACCTCCCTGCCTGTGGTTTTTACCTAGCAGTGCCTTTGTTCTCAGTTTACATGTGAGTTGCCTACCTTTTTAGCAATACATTTTTACAGAGTGACTACACTTAGAGGCGCTTCTTTTCTCTTCTCTTTGTTTTCACATGTACGGCAGCTGGTTTCTGCTCCATGTAGGAAGCCTGCCCTTAGTGGATGGACATCTTTTTATTCTCCTTATTCCATGGATGGACTTTTTAGATATGATCATTATTGGACACTTAGTGACTTGTTCACTTCTAGGAAATGCTCATCTCTTTTGCGCCTTTTTTTTTTTTTTCCCCCATATATAGCACGCAACCATTGGCCTACCGCTATTGGAGAAAGCAAAGGGTCAGGCAAGTAAAAAAAAAAATAAAAAAATATCCAATTTGCTGTACCACACTGTAAAAAGCCAGTGTCTGCCTGCACTACTCTCTTCTTCACTCTTTATCTTTTCATTTGCATACGTACAAGTGTTCACTAAAGGTGAACATTTGTATTTATGGCAGTGATGTCCGTTCCTGTTACCAGAGGATCATTGGACATTCATAGTTATTTGGAAGGCCTCCGCAAACTGTCCTCAGTTGTCTACAGAAACCTTAAGCCAGTCACAGCCAAACAACTAGTATTTTCAGAAAGCTGTGCACATTGCTAACTTAATCTTTCTCTCATACCAGGTTTCTTTTGGGGACTCGGTCTATTCTAAAACTGTGCTCTTGTTTTTTTCCTTTCAGACAGTATGATCAGAGTGGGCTCCGATTACCAGGCACAACTTCCAGAGTATAATCCAGGTATGTCCAGGTTTGAGCTATGTGGGTTTTTTATTCCCATTTATAAGAGGTACATCAAAACAAAAGCAGTGTTAACTTGTCTTTTTTGATTTTTGATAGGCCATTGTATCACTATTCTAACATTAACTAATAAATATATATATATATGTGTGTGTGTGTGTGTGTGTGTGTATATATATATGTATATATATATATATATATATATATATATATATATATTTTTTTTAACAGTTAAATATGTATAAAATTGGTGGGTGCCCCCTTACAATATGTGAAGCCCAAGCTTTGCCTGGTCACCTACCACTTACTTTAAAAGTCTGTGTAAGGCTAGTTCAAAGGTTTTCAGCCAGTGGGACATTTACCCCGGGGGGTAATTCTAACTAGCAAAATAAGCTCATAATGTTGGCTCTGAGTTTAAGGCAATGTGAAATCATATATTAAAGCATATGTAAAGTCATCTTTTTTACGTTTTGGATAGAGCTGGGAAGGATTAGACCAAGAGTGTCAAACTCCATTTTATTGCAGACCACATCAACATTATGGTTGACCTTAAAGGACCGGTTATATCTATAAATGTATCTACTCCTTATATGAAATAATTGCCTTTGCATTCGATTATTACTGGTTTTGGTAATACCTTAAGCTATGAAAGGCAGGTGCAGACCGGATTGAACAGATGATGCAAGTGCAAGGAGGGTAGCACACCGCCAGTATCATCCACAAGAAACTTTATTGGAGACTGCACAGAGACAACATGGTTCTGCCACGGTGTTCTGACTGACCAGTCTCCATTAAAGTTTATTGTGGATGATACCAGCAGTGTGCAGCCCCACTTTTCAACTGGCATAGAATTGTAGTATTCTCATAATTATAAGCAGATGTCCACAGCACCCCACCCCCTTACATCAGATGTCAAGAGTCCCCCACCCTCCCTTACATCATAGTGCACCCCCCCCCCCCCCTTTCCATGTGCTGCTGCTGGGAAGAAGCTAGGAAGCAGAAAATGCAGGTTCTGGAGGAGGGCTGGAGTCAGCTGACAGAGTATGCAGAATGCTGAGACCAAGGGAGGTGGAGATGAGGGGGTGCTGTGGCTGCCCAGAGAGGCACAGGATATGTGGAATGAGTTTTTGTCTTTTCTGCTGCCTACTGCTGAGATGGTGAAAGGGGGCAGTGATGAATTTCTCCCTGGCTGCACTGAGAAGCGCAGGATCTATTGGAGGAGTTCTGTTGCCTCTCTGCTGCCAACTGCTGAGACAAGAGGGGTGCTGCAGCTGCAGTAGAGAAATAAAATGCACAATCCCAACGCACACATTCCTGTGTGTGAGATGGCTGTATATATAAGCAGGTGCTGCAGTGATCATAGGCTGGAACCAAGAACAGTCAGAGGAGAAGAATGTCACCAGCACACTGTGGATCTCCAATGTGGATCCAAAGCTTTATTCAGCGATCACACTGTTACAGGAGCAACATTTTGGAGCCTCACAGGACCTGTTTCACCAGGCATGTAATGATGTCACATGCCTGATGAAGGGGTCCTGAGAGCCTCTGAAATGTTGCTCTTGCTTAACAATGGTATTGCTGAATAAAGCTTTGGATCCACATTGGAGATCCACAGTGTGCTGGTGACATTCCTCTCTGCAGCTGCAGTGGAGGTGCGAGGGCTACATGAAATGGTCTGCAGTCCTTGAGTTTGACATGTGGATTAAACCCTTTTTCAAGTAATAATTGATGTATCATCATTTTGGAGGTGCGTTCCTCTATTTGTGTTAGTTACCACTGAGACAGAAAGTGTGGGGGGGGGGGGAATCCAAAAATTTTGAGTAGTCTTCAGCAATAAATTATGCAAAATCCTCCAAAGGGGACACCTGTTCTTTGAATACTCTTTTGCAAATTCTGTTAATCCTCATTTCTTCTCGTGTCTCCAAAGCAGTGGAGTGAAGGGAAATCTCCCCAGTTGGGACACTGACTCCAAAAAAAACCCAAAAAACTTAATAGAGGTTTTAACTCTTCCCTAATCTAAAACTTAAAAAAAAAAAATAAGTTTGACTTTACATACATTAAAGTATTTTGAGCTGGTTTAAAGCCTCAGAGGTGGTTAGAAAACATTTTGTACACAGGTGGTACTGGTGATAGAATGTTAACCCGTCGAGGGGTATTTTAGATGCTGGCCCGCAACAGGGGTACTTGGCAAACTTACTCTTTTAAAGGGTATGTATTTTATTATAGTATGGGAAACACTGAGTTAGCAGACAGAGATGGGATGTTTCTTCATCTGACTCTTTCAGACGTTAATTATTGCCAGAGACCAAGTTACACAGACTATTCAGCTATTCTCAACAAAGAAGTAAGTTAGCTTGTTAAAAAAAATGGAGAGTAGCTTTAAAGGGTAACTTTAGTTTTGTTGGAAACAAAGTTCGCAAATGGGAAAAAAAATATAGAGTATACAATTGTGAAACAAGTTATATTGTAATTGAATGTGATTAAAATCACCTTTCCCTTTCAATCTGCAGCTCTGTAATTTTCTGTAAAATGCAATATGGCTACATGGAGGTGTTCTGTACAGAACGCCCACCAGAATTGTCATTTCTTGCTTGTGTGATTGTAGCTTAGTACAGACTTCTGGGAAAATCAGTAAGCCAAAGATTTTGAGCATCCCCTGCAGCAAAAATGTAATTTTTGATGAGATACTCCCAAAGGGAAATCATGTCTAAAGGGATGCAGATGCTGCCATTTTTCTCATTAGAGCCCTGCAGGTGCAGTAGCTGATTGAAAAAACACACTCACTGTGCACATTGACACAGACAAACTGCAATTCCTTCAGAATAGCAAAAGGTAGGGATCTTCAACAAAGTTTGTTAAAATCCCTGCAATGTACATAGATCACCCAGAGGGTTTTTTTTTTCCCACCTCAACAGAAGTGAAGTTACATTTTTTAAATTATTTTACCTTCTTTCTAGGGGTGGTAAATATAAAATATTTATATGCAATGTATACAATAAAAAAAAATAATATAAATATAATAAAATATTTAAAATATTTTACAATATTACAAAAAAATCGAAATCGCTTGATAGATGTCTATTTACATGTTTCATGCTGATGTTCTTTGGGACAGATTGATGTGAGTTATTGGTTCATCTAGTAAATGTACTTAAAATATATTGGAAGACCCTAGGCATCTGTAACTGTACCAAGCACTGACTTTTGCTGCAGAATGCAAAGCTTGTCTACTCTGTTAATATTGGTTATCTTCTAAATCTTAACAGGCAAGGCACCACCACCTGATGATGATGAGGAAATGCAGAATATGTTGGTTTGGTCACCAAGCCATGCAATACCAGATACAAAATGTAAGTTTGTGCCTGTTCTTTAAAAAATAAAAACAGCAAATATACTGTTTTTTTTTTTTTTTTTTTTTTTTCCCTCCATGCATCTATCTATGGGACAAATATATGTTTACTTCATAGTGTAACAGTTGCACACTAGTAATATGCCTTTCAGCCATTCATCATGAATGCCTTTAAAGTGACTTTACAATAGTGCTAGTATCACTGCAAAATGATTAGGGGCCTTTGGTAGCTCAGAGCATGATTATTATGCTGTGCTTTTACAGTCCTGCCTCTGGCCATGTCATGCAGCATGATGCCGCTGAGTCTAACACAATTGTTTCGCAGCCAAATAGGAATGTCAGCAATTGCCATTCATTGTAACAAGATGAGGATACTAATATTATGTGTACAATATAGTTGTCTTTGCATCTTCATTCTAGCAGTAAACAATTCTGTTTGAGTACTTGGGTTCGATTTTTTTTTTTTTTTTTTTTTTTTTTTTTTTTTTAAGGCAAACCGAGTATTTGTTACAAGGGAATTTGTACTTTTGCATGCAAATTTCTCTAGAGCTTAGTGAATGAGGTGAAGCTTTGCTGACTTCCGTCATCTAGTAAAGTACAAGTAAAATGCATTTTTTTTTTTTTGTTTTTTTTTTCCTTGCATGTAATTGGGTATTCTTTGCTGAGTGATAGTTCACCACATTCACTAAGCTCTGGGGAAAATTCTTGTGCAAAGTGCAACTTTCCTTGCAAAGTGAACATCCTATTTGCTATTCGTAAATCAATCTTGGCTCTGCTACATGTCTTTTGGGGAATCGGAAAGAAGGTATAGGCCATAGATTTACTCAGAATAAAGCAGTGGCTAATTGGTTTAGGGGATACTGGTATATCATTCCATCTTCTGTCTAAATTCTTGACAGGTGTAATAGGAATTCTTCCTTTACAATGATTCCCTTTTTTTTTTTTTTTTTTTTTTTTTTTTTTTTTTTTGAGGGGGGGGGGGGGGGTTACTTTCCTTCTGCCTTGTTGTGGGGTCTTCTATGGTTTACCACTCTTTCTGGCTTCTAGCCCTGAGTCCATTGTGTATATTTTAAGCTAAAACTGGCAAGATGTCTGTCTGTTCAGCAAGCAGTAAACATAATGGCACGGGTTGATTTACTTTTGTAGAGTACAAAACCTGGTGCAGCACAATTAATCTTTTTGTCAAAGATTAATTGAACAAGCTGAAGTTAGAAGCTGATTGGATACCATGCACAACTGCACAGACTTTGCATCCTAAAATTTCAGTAAATCAACCCCACAGTGTTACAAATTGCACGTCCCGTGGAAGAAACCGTGTTCATATTCCTCAGATGAAATGTTTCCCTATAGATGAATTCTACAATTAACAATGGCAGATTTTATGACTTTTATGAAAAGAAATGGCTTCCTCATTCTAGTCACTTTGATGTGTACTAACAGATTGGGTACATTTCCTTAATCAAATACATTTAGCATAAAAAGACTTATTCTTAGGAGAAACGAACAAGTCATGAAAACTGTATTTCTATAGAGCTCTGTGGGAGAAAAAAAAAACTTGATTCCACTGAGAAAAAGAAGGGGTCTTCAGATATATGTGGAGAAAAAACCCACCTACTTGAAATTCAGGAAACAAAGGAATCCCAAGATATACATGAAAAGACCTGAGAGTTGCAAGCAGAGGCGGACTGACCACTTGGAAACTCGGGCGCTGCCCGAGGGCCTGGGGTCAGTAGGGGGCCCCATGATCCCCTATTGCTCGTGGCCCCCATGAGTTGTCAGTTGCAAGTGGTTGCAAGTAACGTAAAACATCAGGGCTTGAAAATATTGCAAAGAAGTTATTAAAAAAAATCCTGAATAGGTAGCGTTTTTGTTTCCAGATCTCCGTGAAGTGAATAATTTTTGATGAAAATTAAGTAAGACATCAAAACAAGTACCTACAATTGGACACTACCCTGTTCTAACACTCTGGGATACAACGTATACAAAAAGATGAGGCGTTTTGGGTAATTGTTTGGAAAAATATCCTTTTCAGATCAGAGTGGAACAAATCTTAAAAAGCGTTTCTTCTAAGGCAGTCATTTGTATTACTGCTTTATGATTAGAGGTGGTAATTATTTGCTCACACCACATAAAGTTCACCCAAAGGGGAACTTGTGGTTAATTACTTGAGTAGGTGATGCAGCATCCAAGTCCAGACCAGGCAAGCCTATGGATCTAGAAAAATGAAGGTCAATACAAGCTTTTCATTGAAACCTTCCATACCCCATACTGAGTTAGGGTTGTGAGAAGACTAAGCTCTTTCTTCCCCAGGGTTTTTTAGTTGTAGTCATTTCCCTTTTTATCTTTCATATAATAGAAGAGATACAGACTGGAGCTATCTTCTTCTCTCCTTCTAGTGACATTTTGAGGGATTTGCAGCTGCAAAGATGAAGCTATTTGAATCTTCCTTTACTGATGGCAGTGCTCTGCTCACTGAGGGGGTGTGCCAAAGCGAGCACACCTACATTTCACTTCACCTTTTCCACACTTTACTATATGAGAACCAAGGAGTCCCATGATATTATTTCTATGTATTATTAGGTAACCGTGCATTTCATTCTTAGAATCAAAAATAGCATAGAGGCAGGATTTTTAGGGTGTGGCCCCTCAGCAAATGAATCGCACACAGAAAACAAATAGAATCAAGGTCTTTATTTTTATATAAATTGTCAAATTCTATTTAACCACTTGACCTCCAGAGGATTTACCCCCCCCCCCCCCCCGCCTCCCCTTCCCCTTCCTGATCAGGCCATTTTTTGCTCTTCGGCACTGCGCTATTTCAACTGGTAATTGCGTAGTTGTACAATTCTGTACAACTGTCTTCCCCCCCCCCCCACAAATAGAGCTTTCTTTTGGTGGTATTTGAACACCTCTGCGGTTTATATTTTTTGTGCTATAAACAGATTTTTTTTTAAAAATTTTATTTTTCACTTTTCTTTATAAAAAATATCCAATAAACTCAGTCATAAATTTAGGTAAAAATGTATTCTGCTAAATTTTTGGTAAAAAGAATCTCAATACATGTATAGTAATTGTGAAAGTTATTGCGTCTACAAACTGGTATATATATATTGGAATTTACGTAGCTTTTACTTTCTGACTGCTTATCACATTTTTTAAGGTGCTAAAGCCAGGGCAGTACAACCCCCCCCCCCCGCCAAAATTTTTGGAAAGTAGACACCCCAAGGATTTCACAGAGAGGCATGTTGAGTCCATGGAACATTTTATTTTTTGCCACAAATTTTTATTTTTTTTTTTACACAAAGTTGTCACTTTAATGATGTATTGCTCATGCATGCCATGGGTATATGTGGAATAACATCCCAAAACACATTCTCCTACTTCTCCCGAGTATGGGGGTACCAAATGTAAGAGACTTTTTGGCAACCTAGTTACATACAAGCCCCCAAAATCCAATGACCACCTCCAGGCTTTCAAAGGGCATATTTCCTTATATTCTTTCCCCACTACCTATCACAGTTTTGGAGGCTCTAAAATGCTAGGATAGTACAAACACCCCAAATTACCCCTTTTTGGAAAGTAGACACCCCAAGGAATTTGATAAGAGGCATGGTAAATAGTTTACAGATATCATTTTTGTCACAGGGTTTTGAAAAAGAAAAGGAAGAATTTAATTTTTTTTTCTTTCTTCGTTTTCCAAAAACGTGACAACAAATCAGATCTGCAAAACACTCACCATGCCTCTTAGCAAATACCTTGGAGTGTCTACTTTCCAAAAAGGGATCATTTGGAGGGGTTTCTGCTACTATCCTGGCATTTCAGGGCCAACATTAGAAGCTTATGCCACACATCACCTACTCTTGAAGACCAAGCCTTTTCTCACACTTTTTGTTTACATGAAAAAACTTTTTTTTTGCTAGAAAATTACTTTGAACTCCCAAACATTATGTATATTTTTTTTAAAGCAGAGGCCCTAGAGAATAAAATGGTGGGAGTTGAAATTTTTTTTACTTTACACAGTATTTGCGCAGTGATTTTTTTAAATGCAAATCTTTTGGGAAGAATACACTTTTTTTAGAATTTTAATGCACAAGAACACAATATATTGCCCAGTTGTTTGATAAAAGATGATGTTACGCTGAGTAAATAGATACCAAACATGACATGCTTTAAAATTGCACATGCCCATTCAATAGCAACAAATTACATACATTTTTATTATCAATAGTTGATGCCTTAAAAGCCTTTACAGATCACCAATTTATATTTACACAGGAGGTTTAGTGCCCTCGATCTGACTTTCGTGTTGATACCTCACATGCATGGTGGAACCGCTGTTTATGTACTGGCACGGGGTAAACGCTTGCGTACGCAGGTATGCGCGCGCACAGGGGGGCAAGGGTGATTATTTTTACACTGTCCCTTCATTTTTTTTTTTTTTTTTTTTTTGATCACTTTTAATGCTATCACAGGGAATGCAATTATCCCCTATAACTTCAATGGGCATTGTCATAGATTCTTTTTTGAGGAATCTGGGGTCTATCAGACATTATCTAATCTCACCAAGATCGGTGTGATCAGATGCTTTCCCAATTAACAAATGGCGCTGTTTATATCCTGCGAATCTGAAGTGATGAAATGCTCGTAGCTTCCAATTTATTAGACTATAGAGATGATGGAGCCATTCTGGTCTCTGACCTGCTCTATAGTCAGTCAGCGGAACTGCCGGCTGTATTCTCGGATTCTCCTGTGGGACAGGAGAGTGCAAGAAAACTGTGGAAGGCAGCAGGGGGGGATGTCCCTTTCTGCTGCTCATAAAAACAGTTCAGCAGCTAATTGGCCACTAGGATTGCTTTTACATAATAGCTGACCGCCAGCTGAAAAAAACGATACCAGGATGATGCCTGTAGCTGCAGGCATCATCCCGGTATAACCACTCAAAGTTCAGCAACGTACCAGTACTTTGCTGGTCCATGTTGGGCATATATGCAACAGGAGAGAACATGGGCATATGATGAATCGGGTCTGTGGATCAATATGACCGCAATTCATTCTTTTTGTAATGCCCATGTTGAGGGTTAGGCCCAAAAGAGTTTTAAATTCAGAAACTGTGATAGGTTTCCTTGCGAATTGTCTTGCAAGAGCTGAATTTGGGTGGTCGGCGATGTATTGTTGTGCGTATAAATTGCCTTGGCCCACAATCAATTGATACAAATCTTCCGTGAAGAACAGTGGAGGCGCTAAATGCTAGTGCTGGCAATGAACGTGGCTGATCCTGCTAACTATGCGTTTTTGGGGACACTGTACAAAGGAGGCAGTAGTATAGTTCTGTACATGATCAATATCTTGATCCGTAGAAACACTATACTAGTAATGGCGGTGATCAGTGTCCTATAGCGTGAGTGCAATAGTATGCGGGCAATCTAACGCTAGCTGACCCTGGCTGGTTGGGGCGCTTATTGACCCTGATGCTATCTGATGTCACTAGTGGTAGGAATGCATTGATCAGTGAAAAATTCTATGTACTGACACTGTACTAATAGCACTGGTTCGGTGACTGGGTGATCAAAGGGTTAATAGGGGCGAGTAAAGGGTTAAATATGCTAATCTACCGTGTGTGCGTGTGTTTTATAATGTAGTGCTTTTGTTCTTTCTTCTCTCCCTGGACCGATGGGTGGGGGGGGAGGAGCAGGTGCGTTCACACTCCAAAATAGGAAGTGATGCAAGATTACGTCGCTTTGCCAAGAGCTGTTGCTTACATTATGATCATATGATCACCGGGTCCTGTTCACTGGGATCTTCATTCTGCTGTGTCCGCTGGACTCCGCAGTCGCGAGTTAGTACAACCAGAGCGACGTACAGGTACATTGCTTTGCCTGTAGCTGCCGCCATGCAGCAGTACATTGCGGTTGGTCAGGAAGCGGTTAATATATCGTGCATGGCTGTAAATAACAATATTGATCAAGACCCAATAAGTACAAATAAACAACTATGGTTATAACCTATGTAACCCAGTGTCAGTTAAGTTAGACTGAAAAACGCCTCCCGCTCAACATTTTTTGCTTCAAAGCTTCAAAAAGGAGTAGGGTGACAGATAAAATAATGTTAAAAAAAAAGAAAAACCCCAAAGGGCGCCCACCTAAGTGTAGCATTAGAAAGACATTAATGGTGAAAAGACAATATAAAAATTCTACAACTCACAAAGGTAACCAAATATGGCATCTGTCATAAACACATTCCGGTACAAATCCCATGTGGATGGATGGCAGTCCTCTCCACTCCATTCCAGGGAACAGCCCCACCACCACTGGCTGGGTGGAAGAAACCAGGAAGCAAGCTCCGAACCAGAAACTAGGAAGCCAGGGATCTCAGTGGAGTGCAGGGCTAGATCGGAAAAGATGTCAGGTGTTGGCTGAGGGTAAAATAGCCATGGTTACGTGTTTCAGAGCGCCACACTTTGTGTTTGTCCAGCAGCAATCACTGCAGGTACTCGCTTCTGTGCAGAGAGTTGCAAATAGCTGCGACCGCCAGTGACCTGTCATTGTAGAGGAGGGCTCTGGCAGCTTAGCCACTCACAGCCACAGCAGGTATATTAATACAGTGTTTAGAGGGAGGAGCAAGTATTTCTTTTCTGACGATTTTTTCTCAAATTTTTTCCCCCTCTGATTTTTATACAATGGAATTTGTTGAGAAAACTATCGAGTAATTTTTAAGGGGGTTGTAGGGAAAACAAATGTAGACACATTGTAAAATGGCTGTCTACTTAGAGTTGGTCCCCAGTCTCCAACCACTCCTATAGCTTATGTATAGTTTCTATCTACTGCAGTATGTCTGCAATCTCTGATCATCTCTTATAGCATGCCTCTAGTCTTTTGCTATCTCCTGTTGCATGTCAGCAGTCTGACCGCTTTCTGTAGTAATTACATTTACTAACTATTAACTGAAGCCCTTAGGCCTCCTACATCCAGAAAGTTAACCACCACTGATATAGGACTTGCTAACTTGTTGTATTAACAATCCTTAAAATATAATAGATAAAAGGCTACTCCTACAACAGCAGCATTAGGCTGTGTTCTGTGTACACACTTAATTTTTTATGAAGCTTTCCTAACTAAAGCATTTTTCTTCTTCTGTGTTACAGTGGATGAGTATATCTCAATGGCAAAGGAAAAACATGGGTACAACGAAGAACAGGTAAGCTATGAATTGCTGAAGAGTCCCTTTTGTAGCCCCAATTCATACCGAAGCGCTTTGTAGCTTGAAGTTCAACGCTCCAAAATGCTCACTAACCACAGTCGTATGCTTTTAAACTGTGCCTGTTCACATGTGAGTACTCAGGCATCTGGAGCTCAATGCCTAAAGCTAAAAAAGGTACATGATTTGCTTCTGAAGCAGAGTGGATAGTTTTTGGCCCCATAGACTCCAATGGGAGCGCCTGAAAAACACCTGAAAATTAGTTTTTCAAACCTAAACATACATCTCTCTTACTAGATTTCCATTGACTAAAGCAAAATATAATCTGGAAATGTGGAATAATGGTATTTTAAAGGTGCAGAAAACCAAACGAATATAATATTTGTTAAAAAAAATAAATTTTTTTAATTGCAAATCAATATTAACTCCCCTGGCGGTATTCCTGAGTGTAGCTCAGGGTAAAGTTTCAGCAGCACATGCGGTACAACCCCGAGTTACACTCGGGATTACCCTGCAGCGTTGTTCCGGAATCCCTTCTGCACTTACCTTGTTCTTCGCTCCCACGATGTCCCCCCTGCAGCGTCCCCAGCCATCTCCTCCAGCGGATGCCGGCATCTGTCTTCCGGGTTCCGTTCCCTGCGACGTCGGGACGTACGGGGACGGAACTGGCGGGAAATTTAAAAATGTCAAAAAGTGACATTCACTAAATACACTAAAATCACATAGTAAAACATTACTGTATCAAAGCATTTCACATACATTTTGTCCCGTGTGCTTTGTCCTGTGCCCTGCCTGCATTTTTCCTGTTCTATCTGCCTGGAAACTGAGAAAAGTCCATGGCGTCCAAAAAGCATCCCTTTTGGTCAAAAGTAGTTTTAGATCAGCTAGAGAACAGCGACGGTAAATCAGAACCACTTGCAGAATTGAGTGATAATGATTCATGGGGAAATTCGTCATCAGACACTGAAAACGATTTTGCAACTTTGCTCAGTAATGTACAAACTTGGCGCTATATTTCAAATTTCAGTGTTTTTGGTTTGATTACATTATTGAAATAAATGTATTATAATTATATTATTATTTTTTATGCTTATTTATTCAATTATAATTTATGATTTCGTGTTTCAAATTTTAACATACCCGGGATGTTTACTAGACTCTTGCTCGGACAGATTTCAGTGAGTTATTCCTAAAAATTACAGGTCTACAATAAAAAAAAACTACATATTTCCATGCAAAAAAATGTACCGTTTTGAGCACAGAAATACTGATATAATCAGACCGCTAGGGAGGTTAAAATTGTAATTAACCACTTGCCTTCCTGAGGATTTGCCCCCCTTCCTGACCAGGCCATTTTTTGCGCTACGGCGCTGTTACTTTAACTGACAATTGCGCTGTCATGCATTGCTGCACCCAAATGAAATTTACATCTTTTTTTCCCAAGAATGGAGCTTTCTTTTGGTGGTATTTGATCGCCCGTGCATTTTTTATTTTTTGCGCTATAAGCAAAAAAACTGACAATTTTGAGAAACAAAACCTATTTTGGACTTTTTGCTATAAAACATCCAGTAAAAAAAACTTAAATAAAATTTTGTCATAAATTTAGGTCAAAATGTATTCTGCAACATGTCTTTGCTGAAAAAAAAAAATCCCAATACGTGTAAATTAATTGGTTTATGTGAAAGTTATAGCATTTACAAATGGCGGTATAGATAATGGAATTTTTTTTTTCCTACTAGTAATAGTGGCGATCAGTGACTTTTAGCGGGACTGTGGCGGACATTCTGACACTGGGGGGGAACTAACTTGGTGTCACTGATTACCCAGTGACAACTTTACAGTGATCAGTGTTAAAAAAAGCACGGACACTGTACTAATGGCACTGGGCAGGAAGGGGTTAATGTGAGGGGCGATCAAAGGGTTAACTGTGTGCTAGGAATGTTTTACTAGGGGGCGGGGGGGGTGTGTTCTTCACTGATCGGGATGGCTGTACTGTGCACAGCCATCCCGAGTAGTGTATTCGAGCTGACAGGGAGGAAGATTGTTTGTTTGTAAACAAAACAATATTCCTCCCGTCTCAGATGCTCGGTAATTACCGGCCGGGACCCGGTGATTGACACCCGCAGTCGCAAATTGTGGCGCAGGTAGGGTGCGCATTCTGCTTGCGCGTGCCCCCTACCCAGAATTGCAAAATCGTGTGTATTATATACATGATTCGGCACACAGGTGCTGCCCTGTAGCAGTATATCTGCTATAGGGTGGTCCTTAAGTGGTTAAATACAGTGGTATTTGAAAATAATAACAGACTTGGCTATTTGCTGCGGCTTTGAAGAATGTAGCTTCTCTACATGTTTCGCCCAACGTGGGCTTCCTCAGGTATAGAGATGACTTAACCGCAGTACAGATGTCAAAATCATCCTCCCAAGGCTATTGAGGTATACCAATGTAGATAATTAAACATTATTTTGGTCCAAGCGTCCGTGCAATTGCAGAGAATATAAGAGGGGTCAAATATCCACAATGACCAAAGTAGATAGGATTTGGTTGTCAATATCACATTTTGCCACTAGATGTCAGTAGTAGCCGTCAGTCCTAAAGATCCAAGCAAATATATATTCCAAATCACAGCTACAGGTTCTGTGGCAGCACAGATGTTTGGGAACCTTTAGCCCACGTTGGGCGAAACATGTAGGGAAGCTACATTCTTCAAAGCCACAGCAAACAGCCAAGTCTGTTTTGATTTTCAAATACCACTGTATTTGATTACAATTTTAATATTGATTTGTAATAAAAAGTTTAAATATTTTTTTAACAAATATATTTGTTTTTCGGCACCTTTTTAAAATCCCATTATTCCACATTTCCAGATTCTATTGTTTTAGGGATGTGGTGCATAGTGTTGGTTTGGTTATTCATTCGTCATCCTTTATTTTGTAAAACAAAATATGCCTGGATACACTTAAAAAAAATGTGGAAAAAAGTTCCCAAATCCCCTGTAAATGTTTACACTCAGGTGTGAATGCAGCCTTACGCATTATGACCTTCCTGGTAGTGTCTGTTTATTCCTGTCCTGTAGTTGTGGCCTATACCAGCACTGTACTGGCTTTGTAATTCATATGACACATTTAGCCTTTTTAGTAGTCGGTTCAAAATAAGTAAACCCTTCAGTTAATTTTAGGAGGTTCATTAAAGGAGAAGTAGGGCCAAAGCTCTTTTGGCCCTACTTCTCCTGAAGATCACAGGAGTCGCTTCATTCTGCACTCCTGTAACCCATATTCAGCAAACAGCATGCTAAGGCCCTTTTCACACAATCAGATTGATCAGGTCCGCCTGTCTGATTTTCAGTTGGACCCAGTCGGACCACCCATTGTTCTCTATGGGGAGGCGGATGTACACCCGCCTGCATCTAATCCAGTCTGCCAAAAACAGACGGATGGGGATACGTTCACCATCCATCTAGGCCAGGGGATCGGATGACAGGTGGTCAGTTTACATCCGACTGCCCCATAGAGAACAGTCGTCTGTGAACACTCTGCACAACGGACACGGACCTGTCATCCACCTGTTCAGAGGGGATCAGCAGACAGATCCTCCTCTGAGCGGGAAGATTTGGTAGATGGAGTACGCCCTGTATGAAAGGGGCCTAAAGCCCCTTGGCTGACTTCACTCAGCTGGTCCAGACTATGGAGGGATCCTGATTTTAATAAAAAACTTGAAATAGAAAAATACTCCTGCACTGCCTATAAATAGCTGTTCTGTGTGTTTTTTTTTTTTTGTTTTGTTTTTTTTCTCTCACGAGCTGCCAGCAAACTGTTATATGTTCCCACATAAAAAAAATTGTTGTAAATGTTAATGATGCGCTGCTCAAAATGGTCACCATCATAGTTTGGTTATTTTGAGCAGTGCAACACTGACCTTTACAACAATCCTGACTTTAATGTCAGGATCCACCCAGATGTCTGAACCAGCAGCTACCTAAGCTTCTGAGTCAGCTGCTGCTGCCCCTCTACAACCAGTGAGCTCACTGAAGACTGAGAACTGAGCAATCAGCGGTCATTGATTGCTCAATTTTCAGTGTAGATGCAGCATTAGATCGATGCTGCATCCACCTGGGTGAGTATAAATGTTGTGGTGTTTTTTGGTGGTTTTTTTTTTTTTTGGTTTGTTATTTATCCCCAATTTGTTTTTTTTAATACATTGCTTTGGGCTTCTATACTTTTCACACCTAATACATAAATGTAACCAGGTTTATTTATTTTCAGTATTTACTGGTAAAATGCCAAGTTTTGAAAATGTGTACGGTAGTTCACAGTAAACTTTGTAGCATAACTTTAATAGATTTTTCCAATCCACTCCTATGTTATTTTGCAAAAAAACTCTTTTGGATTTGCTCCTTTCCTTTTACTTGCCAGAGTTTATATTGTTTCTTCTGGTCATTGACAGGCCCTAGGTATGCTCTTGTGGCACAAACATGATGTGGAACGCTCCCTAGCTGATCTGGCAAATTTTACTCCATTCCCTGATGAATGGAGCATCGAAGACAAAGTCCTTTTTGAACAGGCATTCAGTTTCCACGGAAAATGTTTCCAGCGCATACAGCAAATGGTAACAATGTCTTTTGCATACATATTTCTCCACAGCTGATACTAATGTAAGTTTTTCACTTATTTGGTGCAAATGTATCACTTTTGTCCTCCTATAATAAGACCGTCAAGTGTTTTGTGAGCCCTTCTACAAGTATCAAACTTGAGTGCTGAAAGGGAGTTTTTGGTGGGCACCATTGAAGTTTGTCTTGGGCTTAAAAGGCTTCATACAGCTGGATATTTGGTGAAGCATTTGTTTATTGCAGTACCACTTGTAAATTTATATTGAATGGCACCAGAGGGAACACCAAAGCTAAGTAGTGCCTATACCCCACATTACTGCATATTTAGCCTCAGATTGTTTGCACCCTCTGACAAAGCTTAACACCAAGTAGGTATGAAAGTTAGCATATTGTGCAATTATCTATTATGTCTATGAACCCAAGTAAAAAAAAAAATTAAAAGCATGCAATAAAAGGCTAAAATATTAGTTAATCCTGCCAGTTTTCTGTACTTCCTGTATAGAGACTACACACATACAATCACTCTTCCTGATGAGCATCGTCCCACTCTCTCGTTAGTGCTCTCAGAAAAACCGTGGCTATGAACAGCATGTTCTTCTTTTATTCACTGTCTGCAGCACATCATAGCCTTGGGAAGGTTCATAGAAAATGACTGACACAGCTCCTGCGCAGAGCCTTTGTCACCCTAGAGCAAAGCAATCCAGCGGTGAGCAGACACACAGCAGTTTCACCAACACACATGATAAGCTGTGGCATAATACCACCCAGCGTCCTGAGAATTGCAAACAAAGAGATGGATAGTGGTCATACTGGAACATGTGATGGGATGAGAAAGAATAGTTAAAACCCCAGCATTTAAAACCACACAGCAATATGCTGAAGAACATTTTGGCAATTTTGACTTGTTCAGAGACTTCATCAAAGATACCGTATTTTTCATTCCAAAAGACGCACCTGACCATAAGACGCACCTAAATTTTAGAGGAGAAAAACAAGAAAAAAAAATATTCTGAACCAATGGACTGACAGACATGGTACAAGAGATGACCAGAGGCTGCGGACATGGTACAAGAGATGACCAGAGGCTGCGGACATGGTACAGGAGATGACCAGAGACTGCAGACCTGTGGGGGGCGGGTACCCGAATTTGACCTCCCCATAGTATAGTGGGACACATGACAGGTCTCAGAAGACTACAGGTGGCCATTCACAAAGCACAGCGCTTCTCGCGCATGCGCAGTGGTAACCCGGCTGTGAAGCCGCAAGCTGTCACAGCCAGGTGGGCACACTGAAGATGCCAGCGTCGGGGAGAGAAGATGGCTGGTGAAAGCAGGACACCGCTGGACCGAAGAGCAGGTTCTTCTGCACAGTAGAGCCGAGCGGCTGGCCCAGTATTCTAACATGGCGGCAGGAATACTGGGCTGGCCGCTTCGTAAGACGCACAGACATTTTCTCCCATTTTTTGGGGGGGAAAAAAGTGCATCTTGTGGAGTGAAAAATATGGTAATTCCCCAGCACAGCCCCATCCCTCCTTACATATCATAGCCATCTCCTTTCGGGAGTGTTCGATTACTTTCTGAGCTGGCTTAACTACTCTCTCCCTATCCTTCACCTTTTTATGTAGCAGCGGGGGGAAGAGTGAAGGGTAATACTATCATGTCACCTGAGTGACAGCTCTAGGGCTGCTGACAGCCTTGCCTTGGGTTATTTGTGTTTACACACAAGAGGTAAATAACACCTAAAATATGTTGAATGCACATACTGTACAATAGAAAGATTGTTGTTTGAAATGACTGGTCTAGTGACTAAGTTGTGGAAAGACTGTTTACCCTCACTACATTGGACTGTTTGTAAATCCAAAAGACCCAACATTCACAAACACAAATGAAGTAACTTGTTACAAAGTCCAAAAGATTCAACAGTGTTGCTAGATAAACCTGTTCTCGCAGGTCATATGCATATATGCGGCCTCTCGGTGGGTTCCTGAGAGGCCGTATATATATGTGTCCCAATTGTAAACATTTCTGTGCTGAGAGCACACGCTCCCAGCAGTTACTGGTGGGTACTGGAGAGCTCCTGATGTATACTTGTGATTGGGATTTTTTCAGATCATGTGACTGCCAATGACAGCAGTCACATAATCAAAATGCCCACCTCCACCTCGGATGTTTCAATGAAAGCCTGGTCTGGGTAGCCACAAACATTCTAAGCATTTCTGAGATACTGCTGTTCTTTGTCTGTACAACACCAAGCTGAGATAGTAGCAACAAAGAGTCTAAAGTGTTAACCCCCACTTTGTGGTACATTGGGTGATGGGAGTCAAAAAGCAGATGCTGGTCCGTGTGGGTAGCTGTCCTATAGACTTCAGTGTCCAAGCTGCTTTCCTCCTGCACATGTAACACACAGTTCAAAAGGGGTAATTTTGTTGTGTCCCATGAAAAGCTTTGAGCTTATGTTCACAAAAAGCTTGTACTTCATTTTATCTTGACTGGTGGCACCATGTTGTCTGTATTATGGAAATAGAACTTGGTGGTTCCACAAACGTTTACATAAGTTTCTGAGCAACTAACATCTACTTGAAATATTCCATGGTCACGGAGTTACCTGTGTAGAATATCTTTCTGGCATTCATTACAAATAACAAAGCTGGGTAGATGAGCAGCAATATATCTTCAGCACAACAGAACAAGTCCGGTTGAGTGGGACTAACTGCTACTAGATTGCTGTATTTTTATTTACTAGTTATAGACACAGCAGGTAAACCCAACATTTCATATTCCTGATATTTTCCTACTGTACCATGTACTTGTATGAAAAAGTATCCTGTCTTCTTTGTATTGCTTCCTTTTGTTCCTGCCAGTCTGTCTGCTTTCCTATCAAAACTGGCAACACTAGACATGAGAGCACAACGTGGTCAGTTTTCTGGCTGTGCTGGGAGATAATCTAATAATCAGGCATTCTATATGCATACATGTTTTTGCCTTTCATTTCTTTTTTTTAAACCTGTTTTACAGGGTGAGGGTTTAAATATTCTTTAAGTTTAATTGTAACTCATTAATTTGTGGATCTGTATATATGCATAGCAAAGTAATGATGCACTTATGACAACAAAGTCACCATCTACCAATTTGCTCCCCAGCTTCCAGATAAACCAATTACTAGCCTGGTGAAACATTATTATTTTTGGAAGAAGACAAGAAGCAAAACAAGTGTGATGGACAGACAAGCTCGTCGACTGCAAGCCAAAAAGGAAAATGGGTGAGAATAAGTTTGTGGGGAGCAGAAAATAAGTAATCATGTAGGAGGTTGTGGAGAACTGTCATTAGAAAATGAAAGGGAAATAGTGGGGAAATGGCCTGATATAATAAAGTAGAAGATCAAATAGCACAGGTGTCTCCAAACCTTTGAAACAAAGGGCTTGTTTACTGCCCTTCAACCTCTAGGGGGCTGAACTGTGGCCAGTGGGAGTAGAAAATGTCATGAACTTGGTTTACTAAATGGGGGTAAAAAATGTACATAATTGATGTCAGTGGGAAGACTAGTATCCCATAATTGGTGTCAGTGGAAGGGATAGTGCCCCATCGTTGGTGTCAGTGGGAGGAATAATGCCCCATCGTTGGTGTCAGTGGGAGTAATAGTGACCCATAATTGGTGTCAGTGGAAGGGATAGTACCACATAATGGTTGTCAGTGGAAGGGATAGTACCCCATAATTGCTGTTAGTGGAAGGGAAAGTACCCCATAATTGGTGTCAGTGGAAGGGATAGTGCTCCATCGTTGGTGTCAGTGGGAGGAATAGTGACCCCATCGTTGGTGTCAGTGGGAGGAATAGTGACCCAATCATTGGTTTCAGTGGGAGGAATAGTGCCCTATTGTTGGTGTCAGTGGGAGGGATAGTGCCTGGTATTAAAGGAGTGCCCCAAGGGCTGGATAAAGGCAAGCAAATGGCCACATCTGGCCCACGGGACAATCTAGCAGTATATTTAGGTTAATCTGCGTAGTTTCGGGTTGTCAAGGCATGTGATTATTTTAATGAGTTGAGCTCTCTTACTGCTTGTAGTCTTGAAGATGGAGATGAACCACAGAAGATAAGTGACACAGAGGTAGATGCGAATGACCCCAAGAAAGAGGTGAGATTGCATTTAGCAGATGTAGTATTACTAATTATTTTACCTGTACCCAGTTTTGTGTATATTTCATGTTTAAAAAATAAATATATATAATATTGTGACCTTTTTTTAGCACTTAAGGAACACGTGTTATATAAATTTCCTGGAGTACTGAACTAAAGCTTTAATCCCAGTACTTTGTACACCTCACTGGGGACCACTGCCAGCTGATGTTCTGGCAGTGGTCCCCTCCCAGTCCCAGTCCCAAGCTTGAACCAGTCAGAGTGACTCCTGTTGGAGTATTTTTTAAGTTTAAGTTCCCCTTTTCACAATAATAAAATGTAAACTAACATCATGACACCCCCATTCCTTGCTGCACTTACCTCCAAGAATGATTAGCTTTCACTGCCTACAAACGCGGTGCAGGGATTTGAAAGCTGTGGTCTTCCTCTTCTTTCCTTAGGAGTGTTGGGACAGTTCAGAGCAATTCTGATTGGTCAAAGCAGTTATATGCCAATCAGAATCGGTCTAAAACATAATTAAACCTACAAACAAAAATGCAATTTCTTTAACATTCATTAATGGAATTGAGTAGTTATTCTGATGTGTGGATTATACTGCCTCCTTCAGGAAGAGTTGAACACTGGGAAACAAAAAAGCAGTTGGCCAGCCAGGTATAATCCCTCCCATTATGAGCATGGCTCTGTTTTTGCTAGTGTCCTAGGAGGATGGATCTCTTCTCTTCTGAGAAAAATGTCCCCCTTTTATGTTTTCTACTTGCCTTTTTGTCCTTTCTCAATTTTTTTTTTCTTTATTTCAGTTAAAGTTTTCACTTGCTCTGCTTTCTATGCAGCAATCCAGATTGGCAAATCCTCAGCACTACTTCAGAGGCCGTGTTTAGACCCCATTGTACCAGGATTGTGGGGCTACCCAGGAATGGGCGTTGGGCACTGCCAGTGGTGCTGTACAGTTTTTTGGGAGCTGTGTTATCCACAGAATCCTTTCAAAGCATAGAGCTGTGGCACTGCCATTGGTGTATCCAGTTTCTCTTGGCTCCTGCCAGTATGGCCCTTTTGGAGTGAAACAATGAGAGCTTATTGTTGCCTTTTATGTTCCTATTTGTCTGTCTCCACAGAAGTAGTTATTATGCTGAGAAGTTATTGCTCAGTCATCAGCTGGAGGGTTGTGCACACGCACTTCTCTCCATTCCCTCCCTGTTTTCTTCAGCGTGAGGCAGCTTATTACGGGCTTTTGCTCCTATCTGCAAGAGACCGTATGCTCCTTGCAGCAGAACAATGGTAAACATCTACACTTTGGTATCTCTATCGTTGCCTTTATGTTCCTATTCGTCTGTCTCTGTAGAAGGGGTTATTGCACTGAGAAGTTTAATACTGTATCGTCAGTTTTAAACTTTTTTGCCTCGATTTGTTCCTTGCTGCTGCCTACAGCGATCTGTCATCCCTGGTCTTTAATTCCTTCTTGCTTGTGCATCTGGTTGTGAATAAACCCTTTTACCGGCTTTATTACTATTAAGTTGTTTCTGTTTAATCACTTCCCGCCTGTAGAACATCATATGACGTCCTGGACTTTCAGTGGTTGTACCAGGATAATGCCTGCAGCTACAGGCATCATTCCGGTATTAATTTTTAGGGTTGGCGATTCTCTGTAATTTAAAAGCCATCTGGCTTAGCTGCTGGATGACTTTTACAGGCTGCAGGAGGCCCCCCTCCTCCCACCACCCTCCAGTGCCTCTCTGGGCTCTCTCATCCCAGCAGTCAACCCGGCACTGAAGCCAGCAGATCATCCCTGATCATCTCTATGGTATTGGAAACTGGAAGTAATGAGTATTTTGTCACTTCCGGTTTCTGTCTCTGTTTACTGGTCATTGTACGTGTTCTATTCTAAGCAGAGAGAGAGCAATAATGCGTCAAGTTGCTCAGGTTCACAGTCCACTAACTGTGGTTCCGTTGAGTTACCGTTGGCTGCAGATAATCCACTGCATCCAGGGTCAATCGTCCACAGGCAATTGAATGTCTTTTTTGTAGCCTCACTGGATAACTTAACTAAGGCTGCTACTGGTGGTAAAAGTACTCCTTTACCACAGCAGTAGAAGCCTGAACTTCAAAATACTAGATCTTCAACTGCCAATGATGCTAAAAATAGTTTTTTTTAAATTTCTTCCAGACTTTTCACTTAAAAGGCTAAGGAACAGTCCAAGTACCACCGTAAACCTTGGACCTTTAAATTCCTGCAGACAAGTATTCTTCAGTATGAAGAGACATCCTTACTTATCAAAGTCAGGGACATCTGTTTTGGATGGATCTTGAATGTCTGGGTATAAGAAGTGGTTTCCATGGCCTACAGGCTAGATTTCCACTCTGTCTTCACCTAATTCATGTCGTCTACCCTGCCTGTTTCTTCATTCAGGCTAGCAAGACCTCATTGCTGCTCTTGTGGATCTTTTAAACCAAGGAATCGTTGCCATGGTTCCTTCAGCAGAAAGATTGCAGGGGTTTTAATCTAACTAAAAACATTTGCACTGACTTGCACCTGAAGACTCTAAATCTCTTCACACAAACTCAATAGATCTGCATGGAAATCTGTCAAAACCTTCCTTCATCATGAAGACTTTCTAGTATCAGTGGACCTCAAGGACACCTATTGCATGGTCCCATTTTTGCAGCACATTCACACTACCTTTTTTTTTTTTTTCTTTAATGTGGGCACCTAAACTGTGTCTGTTTTGTAGCCCTACAATTTGACTGATTTTGAACACCTTGTATGTTCACTAACATTACAGCCCCTGTGTTGGCCTTTTTTATACTTTCAGGGTATTCTCACTGTGGGAATCCTATACAGTCATTTTCTACCAGATCAGTCAGGAGGAAGCTCTATCTATCAATGTAATGTGGACAGTTCAGACCCTAAAAAGGTTTGATTGGATATTTAGTGTCCAAAAATCTGCTCTAGAACTGTCTCATCCCACTTAGTAAATTTTGTTGTGCAAAAAAAAAAATGTATATATTTTTATATATATAATATATAAAAAAAAATATATATATATATTATGAAAGCAGCAGGTTTAGTCTTTATTTAATCTTAATTCTATCTCCCTTTTTAGCAGCATATGTTTTTGTCACTCCCCCACCACTCCATTTTAGCTGTCAGAAGCAGTTGTGACCTACGGTCATAACTTACACTGTACCATGGAATGGACTGTTCCCATGGTACAGTATTGGTGCTTGCTACTGTGGAAGAAATATCTGAATTGAAGGTGAATATTGCAGCAAAACCTAGCTTTTGTTATTTCAACTATTACATTTTATCTAGCTGTTTTTGTCTGGAGTTCTGTTTTTTAAATGTTATTAGCAAATGAATAGGCACAAATAGGTGAAATCTGAAACTTGTTGAGGGCTACAAGGTGTAAGCACTCACTAGTCGTGAAGTGGTCATACAGATCCAGCAGTACCACAATACTTTTAACATTGTCTTCAGTATTGTTGGTTCTGCACCTATTTCAAAGAATCCATGACTGTTATTGGAAAGGATCCACCTAGCCTGCAAGATTTAACCATAAAATGGGGTAAAAAATCATTTGTACAGCCAGCTACCTGCTTAGTGTCAGTATGTGCAGCCCTATGACCACTATGCCTTCCTTTTATTTTAATGACTCTGAAGTGCAGAATATCCAATCTGTTACATGTACTGACGTATTCTTCTTTTTGTTTAATTCTGCTTAATCCTGACTTTTTTTCTATATATGGTGATGGAGAGATAATAATTTAATTATAGAATTTATATAGGTGGTCTGGCAAGATCAAAAGCCACCCCTCCTGTTATCGTCAGAATTTCTCTGTACTGAAAAAAATCAAGTTCGATTGTATAGGGGGCAAATGCTGTACTCCTAACTCTAGGACCTTTCACTGTGTGATTGCTGTATTGTTTCAAAAAAAGTCTATGAAATAATTCCACAAACTAGATCTTGACTGTACAAACCAAGCTGTGCTTCCACCTGGGGAGGCATGTCAGAGAATTTGCATTCCTGCAGACAATATAATAATCTTTTAAAGTGAAACCCAACCTATATATAAACGGAGATGCATCATTTTTTTCTTTTCAGTGATCATTTAATATGACTTTTTATAAATCTTTTTCTTAGTTGTGCTTTTTCTTCATCCTATTCTTCCTATTATTTTTTATATTTTTTTTTTTTCTATGGTATTCATTTTAGGAATCCCCCAAGCTCATTTCAGGAGAATCTGGAAAATCTATCCCACTCAAAAAAGATCCATTGGTTTCTCCGTACCGCCATCACCCTGGGCGATCCCGCAGGAGGCCTCCTAAGGGCATGCACCTTAGCAAGGGTGATATTTCTTCAGTATGTACCACTTCTGAAATGCCAGCACTTGCACTGTGCCAGCAGGATACCCAGCTTGTATCACTGAAGCGTCAGGTAGGGGAAGATGATGGCACTGTGAAAATCTAAAACAAAAGCTGCCTCTTAGTATTAGCCGTGTGAAACGTACAAGCCCTTATACCTACTGCCACCAGAATAGAATCTGTTTCTTACCAAGTTAATGTGTCTTCTAAATAAAACAGGTATGCATAGCATATCCACTTGCCGACTTGCTCGCAGTGCGGCATGTACAGGCACTATCACATACCTTTTAAACCCACTCCCGCTGTGATTGGACACTGCAGGGTTTTGTCAGCAAGTTTCAGCCAATGATTCCTGGCTGAGCCTTGCTGATCGGCTGTGTCCAATCACAGCCCAGAGCCCTTTGTTGACAAACACACAGGGCTCTGTATAAAGGGAACGATCTATCTGTCTCTTGGAGAAGGAACAAACTGATTTTTTATAATAAGCAACACATATTACACACACTTACCTGTTAGGCACATGCAACCTCTTGATTACCTCGAGATGTTAACCCCTTCCCAGTCAGTGTCATTAGTAAGATGACCGTGTATAGTATTATCACTGATCCAATGTCAGTCAGTTAGTCTTCCTCCCACTCGGGGTCAGATTGTCCAATGCACTACCACAGTCCCATTAAAGGTCCCTGATCACTGCCATTACTAGAATAAAAATAAGTTCCAGTATATATACCATAGTTTGTAGATGCTATAACATTCACGCAAACCAATCCATATACCTTTTTTTAATGGGATTTTTTTTTAAGCAAAGACATGTAGCAGCATACATTTTAGACTAAATTTATGAAGACATTTTTTGGGTTTTTTTTTTTTGGGGGGGGGGGGGGGGGGGGAATTTTTGGGATGGCTGGATATGCTTTTATAGCTGTAAAACAATATAGATGATTTTTGTTTTTTTTTTTTTTGTTTTTTTCAAAATGTTCAGCCTTTTTTTGTTAAATAAACATTAAACCCAGTGTTGATCCAATACCACCAAAAGAAAGTTCTATTTGTGTGGAAAAAAATTATATAAATTTTATTTGGGTACAGTGTTGCATGGCTGAGCAATAACCAGTTAAAGTAGCACAGTGCTAAATAGCAAAAAAAATGGCCTGGTCATGAAGGGGGTAAAAGTGGATATTGGCTCCCCTTTGGGCACACACTGTTTGGTATTGATATTGTTTTGACGTTTTTGTCTTTAAGTATGATACTTAGTGCAACTTTTTTTTTCATATTGGGAATAGATAAACATTTTAGTTGCCCTTATGTAGTTGATTTATTTCCTATATTTACATAGCACCACTATGTGCAGCATTTTACAGAGTTCATAGGATCATATCAAAACTTAACAAAATAAAACCCTTATCCACCACACTAATGAAATCCAGTGCTTGTCCATGGAAGACATGCACACCTCATGCAGATAGTGTCTTCGGTGGGTTTCAAATGTAGGACCCAGAGCTGCTAGACAAGTGTTTAAGATCACATAGTAATTTTTGTTTAGATTTTCTGCTTCGACGTAACCCAGCTTCTCCCAGCATACAGGCATATTTAACTTGATTTAAAAGGCCATGGTTCTGCTGCTTGTTTACATGTAGCACTGTAAGTCTTCTCTGTCCTTGCTGCATTCAGCACATTGGTGCCATATAGGCTGGCCCTAGGGCTGAAGACATTCATAGACAATCCCATAGGAGCCTTTGGGACTGTATTAGATAGGTGCAGCCAGAACCATGGAGATTTGTGACACTGGAGCAACAGCCTCCACTCTTCTAATACTATCCTTGTTCAGAGTATTGTGGCAGTGTATAACAACTGTGGTGTGTGTGTGTGTGTGTGTGTGTGTGTGTGTGTGTGTGTGTGTGTGTGTGTGTGTGTGTGTGTGGTGTGTGTGTGTGTACAGTGCTCCGCATAAATGAGTACACTCCAACAGATTTGACAGAAAACCTTTACTTTACTTTCAAAATCAGCATTTTCCATGGGACACTATACTACAAAATACTCCTGCAAATGCGGGCAATTGATTGCAAACAAGATTTGGTATTTTGCACACACGAAAGTGTTTTTCCTAACAAATTAATTCAAGACCTTACTGCAAAAATGAATACACCTCAATGAAAGTCTTAGGAGCAAAGCTAAATTTTAAACAACAAAATCCTAATTAACAAGAATTCAACTACAGGTGAGTCTAATTATTCATTAAACAGGTGTCCAGCAAGACAGTTGATTTGTAAAAGGGCATTAGTTAACAAAGAAAACCCTTTCCCATTTCATGCTGTCAGCAATGGCACCACATGGAAGAGAAATGTCACAAGGCCTGAGAAAGAAAATAACTTCTTTACACAAGAAAGGTGAAGGCTACAAGCAGATCAGCAAAGCTTTACTTATCAGTAGAATACTGTAGCAAAAGTGATACAAAAATTTAACAAAGATGGAACTGCAACCATCTCACAGAGACGTCCAGGCTGTCCATGGAAGTTAACACCTCGACAGGAGCATCTTCTGATGAGAAGGATTGCAGAAATTTGCCATGCAAGTTCACTGCAGTTGGCTTAAGAAGTAGAAAGCCAAACTGGGGTGATTTTCTCGTGACACAATACGGCGTACACTGCAGAGGAATGGCATGCATGGGTGTTATCCACAAGGGAAGCCTCTCCTAAAGCCCATGCATAGAAAAACCCAGCCTAGAATTTGCCAGAAACCATGCTGAGAAAGACTACTGGGACTCTATACTCTGGAGTGATGAGCCAAAGCTAAATGTTTTTAGAACTGATGGTGGCGCAAAGCTGAAGAGCACAAAAATACATGGTGCCTACAGTGAATCATTTTGGTGGCAGTGTCCTTTCTGTGGGACTGCATGAGTGCTGCTGGTGTCAGGGAGCTGCATTTCATTAATGGTATCATGAATTCACAGATGTACTGCTATATATAGAAAGAGAAGATGCTACCATCACTCTGTGCCCTTGATTGTTGTGCACTTATCCAACATGACAATGATCCAAAACATACATTTAAGGTCACTGTTGCATTTCTGAAGAAGAACGGGGTGAAAGTGATTCAGTGGCCAAGTATGTCTCCTGATCTGAACCCAATCAAACACTTATTGAGAATTCTGAATTTGAGCATCTCTCCATCCAGCATCAGTGTCTAAAAGAGGTCATTCTTGAAGAATGGAAAAAGATTGATGTTGCAATATGTCACCAACTTGTCATTCCATGCCTAGAAGACTTGGTGCTGTCCTTACGAATCATGGAGGTCATACAAAATACTAGATGTAGTAGTTTTTGTTGTGGGGTGTATTCATTTTTGCATCAACTAATTAGAGTAAAACTGAAGATTTTGTAATCTAAGTTATTATTAACCTTACATTCATGTATTGAGCTAAACAAATGCTCTAAAAAAAAAAAAAAAAAAAAAAACTCAGTTTTGTAAAAATTTAGGAAATTGTTCTTGTGTCCATTGAGGTATTGGTTAAAATCCTAATTTACAAAAGGGGTGTACTCCTATATGATAAACGAGCAGTGTGTGTATATGTATACTTTTGTATGTGTATATATGTGTGTGTGTGTGTGTATATATATATGTGTATATATATATATGTGTGTGTGTATGTGTATGTATATGTATGTGTGTATATATATATATATATATATATATATATATATATATATATATATATATATATATATTATATTTTTTTTTTTTTTTCTTTGCCTTTTCAGGTACAAAACATTAAACAGATAAACAGCAGCTTGAGGGGAATACTCAGTGGAGGAATTTATGATTTGAGGCCTCAGGAGGTAAGATTTCCGTAATTGTACTCCTTGAGAGCCTGATGTATATTCAAATGGTGTGCAACAAATCATAATTACTAATCACAAAGCTGTTCAGTCTGACTGCCTGCAATTTTCTTAACTGATTTCTGATTGGTGGTTGTGGGTTACTAATCCGGGGTGCTCAACCTTTTGAAGAGCGAGGGCCACTTAAGTGATTTGGAAACCAGTGACGGGCCACAATAAACTCAAAATGGTTTTTTTATTTTGAATAACATAATGATCTTTTTCCTGCAGCATCTGCTGAATGCTGGCAGGAGGGAGAGGGGGATAAGACTGCTTTCAGCGGGGTGCAGGAGGAAAATGGAGAGGATTGGTTCCTATATATCTTTTCCTGCCACCCCTCCTGTCCAAATGTAAAACAGAATATGACAGGAAGGTTGCATGGGGTGGAGTTACCATTGCGACCCCTGACCCTACACCAGTGGTTTTGGGGGCCGGTTGGGTGGTGGTGCTAAACACAGGTCTCAACTGTGGGGTTTTATGCCTCCCCAAATCACAAATATAAATGAGCCCTTGCTGTCCTTTATCCACCTATAAGGTTGCTTTTACACTGATGAGCTGCAGTATACCCACACCGCTTGTGCAGCGCAGTGCACCTGCGGCTTTCCTTCAGGTTAGGTGTACATTGCTATAGACTTCTGTTACAACTTGTCAGTGTGATGCACTTTCAGAAAGTGCACCAAACCCGCAGGATATAATAGAAGTCTATGGCTCAGTGCAGCTAACCTGCAGGAGAGGCGCACTGCGCTGGCACCCACAGGTCAGTGTGAAAGTAGCCTAATAGTTGTTAACCTTTTTATAAATGCAAAAATGGCCATTGCATATGCGCAGTGTATATGTTGTTTAATACACTGACCTCCTTTTTCCTTGTCCAGGTTCTGCTGGCATCACTCTCTGCCTCCAGGCTGTTAGAAAGGTCTCAGGCGAAGTGCACTTGGTATCACTCCACCTGAGACAGGTGCTGGCACTACAGAGGAATGTGGATCCTTCTCCCTCTATGGCCACCTGCTTTCTCCGTTTCCGGCTCATTGTATTCTGATGCTCTGGGATGGCGGGTTGGCAAACCCAGATCACGATCAACGGGTTGCCAACCCTGGGCATGCACTTCCCTGGTGTGAGGTTGAGGGCCACATCAGAGGGCTCCGAGGGCCATAGGTTGAGCATCCCTGCTATATATACGATTTATAAAACTGTCTTTGTTAGCCAAAGCAACACTCAGATTCTATCTTGACTCTCCCATGCTGCACTGGTAGCATGCATGAATCTGATTTGTTGCGATGAAAAATAAGGCCTGTTGTCTTTTATGTCTGTGTCCTGTTTAAAACTTTTCAGCCTTAAACGGGCATTCTCTTGCTTTTTCTTTAGCTGAATATTAAGCTTAATTCACGCTGGACTACAGATGAGCAATTGCTGGCTGTGCAAGGTGAGATGCATTTGGTGCCCTGATCTTGTAACACTGGGTGAGATGATTGCAGATCACAGAATGAGTGGGAGGTGGTAATACAACACATGGATATACTGTACTAGACTAAAACATCTTTGCTGTTTTCCCTTTCAGCTTTCAGGAGATATGGGAAGGATTTTCAGGCCATCTCAGAGGTTCTTGCAAATAAGACACCTTTACAAGTGAAGACCTTTTTCATTAGTTACCGTAGACGGTTTAACTTGGATGAAGTAGTTCAGGAGTGGGAAGCGGAGCAGGGAGTGGATTCATCTGCAGCTGGCAGTGATTCCACCAGTAAGAGCACTGCTTCCCCCCAGATAAGCAGTGAAGAAGATGATGAGGTGAGAGATTACAGCATTAGACCATCGTTTTTTTTTGTTTTTTGTTTTTTTAAATGCCTTACTGCCTTTTTATTTGTGCACTTTTCTCTGCTCAAATGCCTACCGGCTGCACTAGGCATTCCCATTAAAAAGTCCAGCATGCTTTGTAAATAGTGTAGCATTGCTCTATACATTAAATATTTGGAAAGCTGAGTTTTTGTCTCTTTAAAAAACATAATACAGGTACAGAAAAATATCTGTTGATCCTGACAGGCATCAGTGAGAACCTTACTTCCTCTGCTAAACTCAAATCCCAGCAGTGGTACCAGCCTTGCTAAATTTAGTTTTGGGCACTACAGTACAACCCCCCCCCCATGTTATGTAGATGAAAAAAGGTGGTGTTCTGTAGTCCTAATACACCTCCCTCCTAAGGTGACAATGCTGCTGTTTCATAGATGCAGTAAAGTGACTGCATGTGCATTGTCATCCAAGGACAGGAGGTGTGTTACTGGCAGGATTAGATGAAAATAAAGAAAAACAAAAAAGAAAACAAATGCAGTCACAGTGTTTGAGGGACTTGCCTGCAGTTTGTAAGCATCTAAGACCAGAGTGAAACCGATCTGTTGCCGTTCCAAAGATAGACACTGAGTTTACTTTTGCACTGGTTTGCACACTTTAAAGGGGTTTAAAGGGATTGATTAATGCTAAATAGGTTGCAGCGTGTCTCGTCTTCTTCTGCAGTTTTGAGTCATTAGTTCTGTAAAATACATGCCTATGTGTCCCTATTTGAGGGATGTATGCCCCGAAAATTGTAACACATGTATACAAATTTGTATAGTGGGGGGGACATTTAATATTTTCTTATCTTGTTTGCTGATCACCATCCTGAAACGGTCTTTGGAGACTCAGGCCTCCCACCTCCAAAAATATTATCAGGATTTGTGAATGGTGAGCGATCACTGAATGTGATCTCTCCTGTGAGGTATTAACAGAGAGGCATGCATGCAGTCCTAAGCTATTCCAAGATCAGAGCTGTCAAACCCTGGTTGCTGTGGCCAGGTAAATAACAGACTAGGGGACTTTTTGTCTTCAGTATGCTTGGGCAGAGGATTTATTTTGGCAGCAGAAGGGTTAAGTTGTACACCAAGGACACATTTTTAAATTATAAAAATCATTTACATTTGCCTTTACTTGGGTTGTTGTAGGACGATTGACAGGCTTTTAAGCATTAGGTAGAAATGCCGCCCTAGGCATACCTGAATAATGATGCCATTTTCTTACAGTCTACCCCTTGTGTTTATTATTTTCTGCTAGAATGAGCTGTATGCTGTCTCTACTTTATATGGAAAACAAATGCTGTCTTGGCATTTAAACATTAAAGAAGGTTTCAGTCAAAGAGCAGCATGTTGCTATTATGTGCAAGTATTTATCAAGAATTAATTAAATTGACCTCGTGGAGAACACCATAGTGTCCGCCAATGGGAGATCAGAACAGTTCTATAAAACCTGGTTTACTGGCATGACTTTATCTGTTTTTCAGAATATCACGACCTCTTGGCATCTGCAGATGCCTAAATGCCTCTATATATCATTAAAACCAAGCAGTTTTCTCTGCTCTTGAATCTTGTGTCCACTGCTGATGCCTTCCCTCAGTGCCCCCCACCACAAATACAGTATATGGGTACGTGTACCTATATATGCATACATAGGATTGGTGTGGAATTTTATTTTGCCCTCCCCTCACCCAGTCCTTCACTTTCCCTCCTGTCCTGATGGAATCCCTTCAAGGGTTTTATGCTTTCTACAGTCTACTTCCAAGTCCTTTGGCCTATGGCCGGGTTCTTCTCTCAAGCATTCATTCACACACAAGATGGTTTGCATTTTTACCATTGACCATAACCAGCAGTTTATTATCTTTTGTCTTGCCTTCATTGGGTCCTGCCAGCTCAAGAGATACTTTTGCCCATTACAGGACAGCAACTTGCTACATTCTCAGATTCCAGTGTCCTCGGCAGAACTCTCCTGGTTTTATAACTTTGAAATAATAACTGCTTAACAACTTCTGCATGCTGTATCATTTTCTGTCACTTTAACTTAGTTATATAGTTAGTCTGGCTGAAAAAAGACAAAAGTCCATCCAGTTCAACCATAAAAAAAAAAAAAAAAAAAAAAAAGTTATAATCCTATACCAACAGTTGATCCAGAGGAAGGCAAAAAAAAAACCCAGCAAAGCACAATCCAATTTACTCCTGCTGGGGAAAAAAATTCCTTCCTGATCCCACGAGAGGCAATCGGATATTCCGTGGATTATCTTTACCTATAAATGTTGGATACACAGAATATAACTGGATACTAAGAAAGAATCCAGGCTTTTTTTAAAGCAATCCACTGAGCTGGCCAGAACCAACTCTTTAGGGAGTCTATTCCACATTTTCACAGCTCTTACTGTGAAGAAACCTTTCCACGTTTTGGAGATTTAAATTTTTTTTCCTCCAGATGTAAAGAATGCCCCCTTGTCCTCTGTGATGACCTTCAGGGTGAATAGCTCTACACCGAGTTCACTATATGAACCACTGATGCATTTATACATGTTGATCATATCCCCCCTTAATCTCCTCTTCTCAAGAGAGAATACATTCAGTTCCTCCAATCTTTCCTCATAGCTGAGCTCCTCCATGCCTCGTATCAGTTTAGTTGCCCTTCTCAGTACTTTCTTCAGTTCCCCAATGTTCTTTTTGTGAATTTGTGCCCAAAACTTAAATATATGTCATCTTGATGTAAACACATTTTCTGATGTAAAGCTATGCTATTCTTTAGTACTTTTGCAAAAACAAAATAAGGAATTTATTTAAAAAAAAGAAAACATACTTTTCTCTTTACAACGCTACTGGAAGTTTCCCCTCCATTCAGCAGTTATCTGGTGTTGTCCACAGCCTGGCTTTTGTCATATTCGGACCCGGCTGAACTGTACGTTGAGGGATAGCCTGGAAGTGACGTTCAGGCACTTGAATCTGCGTGTTGTGTGTAACAGACTCCGGTTGTGGTAAACGTTAGCTGCATAGTGCTGTCCAGGTCCAGAGGCGGCATAATGTCCACAGCACTTGCCTGTTCTTAAGGACTCACTCAGTGGGGCTGATTTAGCAATGGTAAATAGATTTTGCACTCTGCAACTGCATATGCTTCAGAGCTTGGTAAATGAGGGGAAAGTCTGCTGACTTCCATTATTAATTTGTGTGCAAGCAAAAATGCTGTGGTGTTTTTGTTTTTTTTTTTTTAGGGTACTAAAGTAATTGCTATTTCACGGGACCACACAGCTTTAAGGCTTGATGCATTACTTCTCTATTTACTCAGCACAACTTCATCTTTTATATTTGACCAAAAAACTGGTTTGCATTTGTGTTCTTCATTGGGAAGAATGGTCCTTACATTTGTGGTCAGTGCGAAGAGTCCCCCCTTATAGAAAGCTAAAAACGATCATTGGGTGTTAGTGGGAACGTTTCTGAGAGGCAGACATTGCTCAAGGAACCCTTAGCAACCTCTGGAGGAACCCTGGTTAAGAAACCTTGCTCTAAAGCAAAGGTTCATGTTGTCCCATTATTTTTTTTGTTTTTGTTTTCACTTTTAATTTTGACAAATTGCCTAATTTCATGTCTAATTTGTTTTATTTGCACTTTTATTTTGACATAAAAATTGCCTAATGTGACAATGGGAAACATGCTAAATTTTCATCCTCTTCTCCTTTCACAGGTACAAATCACATCTGTTTCTGCCTCCTCTCAGACAGTGACAACTACTTCAACAGCTTCTACAACTCCAGCAGCTGCTACCATGTCCCTCCCACCTCCATTGCTAAGACCAACAATTCCTTCTGCTCCTATACTTCATCGTCAGCCACCTCCACTCCAGCCTGGACGTCTTCTCCAAGCTCGTCCTCCACCTCTTGTCCGGCCAGCTCCCCGCCAGAGCCCACGAGCGCCACCTGCTTTATTGGGCAATCATGCAGAGCCAGCTTTCTCCTGAGGGATCTAATGAATGTTCTGTTTATATACAGTGTGTTAATTGGGTGGGTTTATTTATGGGAGTATTGGCTTGGTAATAAGACCTGTGTACAGAATTGTCTGTATCTAACAGAACAGTATTGAACAATAAATGGGCCTTGCGTGGAAATGGTGCTATAATATAGTCGTCCTAATGGCATGTGGAGTGATACATTTCAGCACAATGCCAATGATTTTTTTTTTTTTGTACAATTAGGGGGTTCAGGGTGTTTTTGTCTACATATTTGACCATCAGTGGAAGTCTCTTCTATCGTGGATTTAAGACATCTTTATAAATGTCGTTTTCAGTGGCACATGTGGTGGAGATTTCCAACTTGCACATTGACTCTGCCTACTTATGGCTTCAGAGGATGTTGGATTAGAATTGTATCCTAAATTTTCTGGTCTGTGTCGGTAGACTGTTGGTGTGACCAATTTGTGTGATCATACAAGCATACGCATTCTGGATACGTAGTAGTGTTTTTTTATCGCTGTGAATAGTTAATAAAACTACTTGTGTTTTGCTAATATCTGATCTCCATCTGAAGTTGTATTTAAACTAGAGAGAATATCACTCTTGTTTTTCTGTGTTTTTTTTTTTTCCTATTAATTTCATTATCATAATTTTGTGACTACTCTTGTCTTTGTTAGGAACAAGTCCACATCTATAACCTTTACAAATACAAAACTATTAATACATGGACCATAGCAGAAATATTTAAATGGGCTTCCATTTCTAGCCACAACATGATTCCCTTACTGAACTCTTTATCATGCTCCCTCCTGTGGGACTAGAAAATTCTCCATGCTTGGACAAAGCTGATAGGTGTAGCCCTACAAAAACTAAAGAACATTTTTGTCATTTGTCAGAAATAATATACAATGTACTTCAAACAGCTCTTAAGTCCTTAACTGGTTTATAGATTTTTTTTTTTTTTGAGCTGTGCGTTCACAATGAAAGGACATTACAAACCAACCCGGTAGGCTCTGTCACCAGGTATTTTGGTGGAGTTTGTGATGGAGAAGAAAGTCGTTGGAAGCACTGGAGCAGGATCAGTGGGTTGGTGGTGGGGTGCTGGCTTTAGAGACACTTGCAAATGGACAGTATCTCTTTAAAAACGTAATATGCTGCAAAATCATTTTTCTGGAGTGGATATACACTTAACTGCTTCCCTCACAGCAAATGTACATACAAAGGCAGGTTCTTTATTGTTCCGGAGGTATCCATACTTCTTCCCAGAGGCCCGTATGGCATGTGACCCCTGAGGCATGCAGTGGCAAGTATTAGGAATTCATGATGCCTTACTTACTACTGCGTGATCTCTGTGATTGGCCACAGTGATTACATAGTACCAAGGCCAACCACTGTGACCATGGCTGTGACCAATCAGTAGTAAGCAAGGTTAATAAGTGAAACCTTTGAGTAGTGTTACAGATTGATAATCAAGCAGTGTAAAAGAAAAAAATCCCTGATTTCCCCCCTTCCCGAGTAGTACATTGTTAATTAAATATTGTAAAATTAAAAATCTCGTGCCAGAGCAATTGCACTATGGTGACATTGTGCCACGCTGGCATTGATCATGTACAGTGGCTGGCTGCTCTGATGTCCGTGCCACTAGCCATTATGTCTGATCACCGTAACAGCAATACAATGTCACCAGTCCAGTGCTGCCAGTCAGTGTCCCTAATCAGCGCAGTTCTATGTGTCCTTAATCACCCCATGACTCAAGAAATAAGAGGCGTTCAGTAAATAATGACTGATCAATAAATATACACACATACATACATGCTATATTGCCAGAAGTATCGGGACAACCCTCCAACTCATTGGATTCAGGTGTTCCAATCTCCTCATGGCCACAGGTGTATAGAATCACACAGTCAATAGATAAAGACCTCCAAACTTCATGTGGCCTTCAGAGTAGCACAACAGTGCAAAGAGAGCTTCATGGAATGGGTTTCCATGGCTGAGCATTTGCATCCAAGCCTTACATCACCAAATGCAAAGCAAAGCTTCAGATGCAGTGGTGTAAACCAAGCCACCACTGGACTCTAGAGCTTTGGAGATGTGCTCTGTGGAGTGACGAATCATGCTTCTCTGTCTGGCAATCCAATAGGTGTGTCTGGGTTTGGTGGTTGCCAGGTACTTGCATGCCTGCATTGGGCCAAGTGTAAAGTTTGGTGGAGGGGAGATTATGGTGTGGGGTTGTTTTTCAGGGGTTGGGCTTGGCCCTTTAGTTCCTGTGAAGGAAACTCTTAAGGCGTCAGCATGCCAAGACATTTTGGACAATTTTATGGGGTTTGGGGGTGGCCCATTCCTGTTCCAACATGTCTGCATACCAGTGCACAAAGCAAGTTCCATGAAGACATGGATGAGCGAGTTTGGGGTGAAGGAACTTGACTGGCCTGCACAGAGTCCTGACTTCAACCCAATAGAACACCTCTGGAATGAATTAGAGCAAAGACTGCAAGCCAAGCTTTCTCGTCCAACATCAGTGCTTGACCTCACAAATGTGCTTGTGGAAGAATAGTCAAACATTCCCATAGTCACACTCCTAAATCTTGTGGACAGCCTTCCCAGAAGAGTTGAAGCTGTTATAGCTGCAAAGGGTGGGCCAACTCAATACTGGATTCTACGAACGAAGACTGTGATGCCATTAAAAGTTCATGTGCGTGTAAAGGCAGGCGTCCTAATACTTTTGGCAACATAGTGTGTATGTGGGTTTTGTGTGTGAAAATAAATATATATATACAGTTGTGTCCAAAATAATAGCAATGTGTTTGAAAAAAGGGAATAAAGCTCAAAATCCTTCTAATAGCTTTTATTTCCATACACACAAATGCATTGGGAACACTACACATTCTATTCCAAATCAAAACATGAAGAAAAATATATCAAATTTGTGTTGTTCCTCTAAACAAATTGAAGAAAAGTGAATATTAGACTGTTCAAAAAAAATAGCAGTGTTTGTATTCTTCTTTACAAACTCAAACTTTCACTATATAAACTGAAAAATGTTAGAAGATTTTGCTTTCCTTTGAATCACTTAATGAATATTTAGTTGTATAAGCACTGTTTCTGAGAACTGCTGTACATCTGTGTTGCATGGAGTCACCCAACTTCTGGCACCTGTGAACAGGTATTCCAGCCCAGGATGATTGGACTACATTCCACAGTTCTTCTCTATTTCATGGTTTTGTCTCATAAACTGCATTTTTGATGTCACCCCACAAGTTTTCTATTGGATTAAGATCCGGGGATTGGGCTGGCCACTCCATAACGCCAACTTGTTGGTCTGGAACCAAGATGTTGCACGTTTACTGGTGTGTTTGGGGTCGTTGTCTTGTTGGAACACCCATTTCAAGGGCATTTCCTCTTCAGCATAAGGCAGCATGACCTCTTCAAGTATTCTGATGTATTCAAACTGATCCATGATCCCTGGTATGCGATAAATAGGCCCAACACCGTAGTATGAGAAACATCCCCATATCATGATGCTTGCACCACCATGCTTCACTGTCTTCATAGTGTACTGTGGCTTGAATTCAGTGTTTGGGGGTCGTCTGACAAACTGTCTCCGGCCACTAGACCCAAAAAGAACAATCTTACTTTCATCAGTCCACAAAATGTTGTGTCATTTCTCTTTAGGTCAGTCAATGTGTTCTTTGGCAAATTGTAACCTCTTCAGCACGTCTTTTTTTCAACAGTGGGACTTTGCGGGGGGCTTCTTGCAGATAGCTTGGCTTCACATAGGCGTCTTCTAATTGTAACAGTACTCACAGGTAACTTTACACCTTCTTTGATCTTCTTGGAGCTGATTGTTGGCGGAGCCCTTGCCATTTTGGCTATTCTTCTATCCATTCGAATGGTAGTTTTTCTCTCTTCCACGTCTTTCAGGTTTTGGTTGCCATATTAACCACTTCCTGTCCGGACACTTTTACCCCCTTCCTGTCCAGGGCAATTTTCAGCTTTCAGCGCTATCACACTTTGAATGACAATTGCGCGGTCATGCAACACTGTACCCATATGAATTTTTTACGATTTTTTTTGAGACAGATAAAGCTTTATTTTGGTGGTATTTATTCAGCGCTGGGATTTTGATTTTTTTTTTTGCTATGTAAATGAAAAAGTCCAAAAATGTTGAAAAAAAAGTGTTTTTCTTATAAAATTTTGCAAATAGCATTTAATCATAAATCTTGGCCAAAATGTATTCCGTTATATTTTTAGTAAAAAAAAAGGCTAAATTAGTTTATAACCAAAAAAATTATAATTTTTAAACTTTTTTACATTTTTATTTTATTTTTTTTTATTATTATTTGTTTTTTGTTTTTTACATACTGTCACCCTAGCAGTACAGTGTCACCATGGTGACACTGTACTACTTGTGGGGGGTGATGAAGATTTTTTTTTTTTTTTTACAGTGATTGCTTTTATACCCATATAGGATGTAAAAACAATAATTTCTCTTTCTCTCTGTCTGCATTCTTGCAGCCATTAAAAACTACTGAGTGAGCTGTGATTGGTCACAGCTTGTCACATGGTACAAGGCTGTGGTGAATAGCCTTGTACCATGTGACCTCTGTGATCATTCACAGATTTCACACGTAGTAAGCAATGATGTCAGAAGTGACATCTTGCTTACTACTTTGCATGTGATCACTGATTGGTCTATCAGTGATCACATGATCGGGACCTCGTGCAGAGGTCCTGTCCGACGATAGGTGTTTCACTGTGTCCAGCGGGCACCGGATCGCGGTGCTGCGCGCTCCCAGGGAGCGCGCACAGCTAGAAGTGGCGGGTGCCGTTTATGAACGGCAACCCGCCCCTGGAGTGCCACCGTCGTGCCGTTTATAAACAGCATGAGGACGGGAAGTGGTTAAAGCATTTGCAATCATTTTAGCTGAGCAGCCTATAATTTTCTGCACTTCTTTATATGTTTTCCCCTCTCCAATCAACTTTTTAATCAAGGTACGCTGTTCTTC